AGTGAAGCCACGTATTCTTGAAGTTGTTAAGACCATTCTGGGGAAAGATGCGGAAAGGAAGGTGCAACAAGTACCAATGTCTAACAATGTCATTAGGAGCAGAATAATTGATATGAGCGAGGACATCTTGGAACAGGTGATTACTGATATCAAGGCAACTCCTGTAAAAATATCATTGCAACTGGATGAATCTACAGATGTGTCCCATTGTAGCCAACTGATTGCTCTTGTTCGTTATGTCAAGAATGAAGAAGTATTAGAACACATTCTATTTTGTGAACCACTAAAGATCACCACAAAAGGCCAGAACATGTTCGACCTCATAAAAGAATTTTTCTTAAAACATGGATTGGATATGAACAACGTTGGTTCCATATGTACAAATGGCACTCCTGCTATGCTAGGAAATCGATCTGGATTTTCAGCCCTCATGAAACGGGAAATTCCTGAGGTCCGTGTCACATACTGCCTGCTTCATCGGTATGCATTAGCAGCAAAGACTTTACCAAAAAGTCTGCAAGATGTTTTGTGAACATGTGTGAAAATTGTTAACGTAATTAGAGGACATTGAACCATCGTTTATTTCAAGCATTTTGTGAAAGCATGGATTCTGAACACACGGTTCTACTGTACCACACGGAGGTGAGATGGCTATCCCATGGACATGTCTTGCAGCGTATATTTGAGCTTTGTGAGGAGATCAAGACATTTTTAAAGGATCAGAAGTTGGATCTCTTTTCTTCATTTGATACCCCAGAGATTGTGCAAATGCTAGCATACTTGACCGACATATTTACTCACTCAAATGAACTAAATATTTCCCTCCAAGGAAGTAATAAAAACGTGGTTATTGCACATGAAAAATTGGCTTTCTTCAAAGCCAAAATTCCTTTGTGGTTGAGAAATATTGAGAAGGGAAATTTGGCTAGGTTTCCATTGCTGGAAGAAGTTGTTGAAGAACACGAGTCACTACTTCCAGAAGTTGCCACAGCAATATGCATTCACCTTGAACAGCTATTAAATGCCTTTGATGGGTATTTCTCTGCAGGAAATTTGGCTAGGTTTCCATCACTGGAAGAAGTTGTTGAAGTACACGAGTCACTACTTCCAGAAGTTGCCACAGCAATACGCATTCACTTTGAACAGCTATTAAATGCCTTTGATGGGTATTTCTCTGCAGGAAATTTGGCTAGGTTTCCATT